GTTAAGGGGTTTGCCTGTCGTTGGAGCTGTTAAGGGGTTTGCCTGTCGTTGGAGCTGTTAAGGGGTTTGCCTGTCGTTAGTGAGAAGACGGGCCTGGGTTTAACCTCGCAGTGTCTGACTCCAGGTGGTGAATTCTCGACTACTTAAAATGCATCCTAAATCCGTTTCCATTGTGAAAGATCCCTCCCTTAAATTCCGTATGCCCTTCCACGTACTGTATCTCTTCCCCTTCACAGCCATGCTTTCTGAAAAAGTTGTCAGCACTCCAGGGTCTGCTTGCTCACCTGTCATTACCACCTGCTGGGGGACCTCTGCCCTAAGCACAGCTCTGAGACGTTCTAACCAAGGTGGACAGTCACGTCCAGCAGATGTCTCACTCCGTACCTTCTGTAGTTTGCACACGATCGACCGCTCACTCATGTTGGACACTCGCCTTTGAACGGCCCGCCGGACACGTACTCTCAGCGCTCGCTCCATCTGCTTCTCTGGCCTCTCCTGTCCTCTTTTGTAAACTCCTCTTCCTTTTCCCATTCCTTCCGTGTCAGTCTTATTCAGATCTTCTGTCTTCTCCACGGTTTCTTCCTGCGGGCTGTCGTTCACCACTCTCGTGACTTCTGTTACTATTGGTATTGGTGGTCTTAATCTTTGAGAATTTGATAAAAGCTGCAAACTCTTACTATGGAAAAACCACTTTATTCTGCATTTAACGTCAGAAGATACACATACATCCCTTGAAGTTGTACATAGTCTTCTTCACTCTGGTAGTTTCAGTTACCATGTCGTGACTTCCAAATCTATAAATCTGGCTCAGAGCTTTGCAATTGTCTAATATACATTTCTACTTATGTTTCAAACTCACGTATCTAAAGTGGAATTCATTATCTTCTTGCCTAAGCAAGCAGCAACTCGCTGTCTCCTATCGCAGTAAATGGTACCACACCCACCATATTGCCCAAGCTAGTATCCTAGGCATCATCCTTGCCTTTTCCAAACGGACCCCCTCCATTCTATCTAATTAAAATTAATCACCAGTACTTGCCACTTCTAGCCATCATCTATCTTTTGGATTGTAACCTTCTTAACCAGTTTTCCTGCCTCTCGTCTTGCCCTTGATTTTTCTATATATTCTCCACATAGTAACTAACCATGATGGTTTTTTTAAAACGTATTTGCGATCACGTCATTTGACTTAAAGAATCTGTCATGGTTCCCTAGTGCTCTCAGGATAGAGGAGAAACTGCTTTATGTAATCAGATCCCTAGATTTATCTTTCCTGAGCTGCTTATAGTTGCTAAATTTTCCATATCTCCATATTCTCTTGGACCCCTGTGTATCTGCACTCCCCCTTTTAAAAAAACCTTTAAAGCACACTTTTCCTTGTCACCTCCCATGGTTCTTCAGGTCTAGATTCATAGGTCACTTGTCGGAAGCCTTCCTGACTTCCCAAGACTTGGTTAAGCGCTCCTTTTGTGTTCCCAGAGCGCCCTGTGCCTCCTCCTCTCTGCACTCTGTGGCTCTTCGGTCCCTGAGCGCAGCGACTCTGTTCATTTCATTGTTACATCCCCAGCACATTTGGTGCTTCTTGCAAAAATATTTGGTGAATAGCTTTTGGATGAATGAAATAGGTACTCCGTAAATGTTTGAATGTATGAGTGTTTAATTTCCTGGCTGTAAAATGCTGATTTAAACACCTATCTCAGCATTTTTTAATTGGCTAATGACTGGCAGTATTTAGTAAACTGTGTGTTATTAAACACTGTGCAAAAATTAGTTATGTGTACGGCTGAGTGTTTGATGTTCCCTGGGCAAATGGCTTGAAAACTGGAATTCTGTGAAGGCAGAACATGGTACCGATTAAAGATGGAACTTAGTCTGCACATTGAAAAACAAGGAAAATTTGAGTGTGTGACAAGAATGCAGTCACCGTGGGAAAAGGTATATGTCCAGAGAGCTCTTAAAGGGATATTACTCCCCCAAACAGGCAATTGGTACAAAGAAGCATCTGTGTAGAGAAATTTTTAACCAATTTAGAGGCAGTGTTTAAGATTTTAGTCCCTAAAACTCACCTTTTATTCTGTTCTATTCTCCTTTGAGGTCACAAGTTGAAAAGTGTAGGTTTTTAGTTGTGGGACTTGGAGCGCTAGTGAAATAACTTGGAACGTGCTGCCTTGCCCATCAGGAGCTGCTGGTGCCTAGAGAGCTGTGTGCGCTGGAAGCAGCCTCAGTGGTTTCAGTTTGCGGGCTCTGCCTCTTCCCGGCTAAGATACAGACAGGCTAAGAGGCTTGAACAAGTGAGAGAGAGAGAGAAGCAGTTTGAGGATTGAACGGGAAAATTTCCTAGGACGTCCAGTCTTGAGGTTTGGCTGTTACTGGGCTGTCCCTTGGCATGTCTTGGGGAAATACCTGAGCGTAGCCCCTCGGTGTGACTTCCTTAAAGGAACAGAAGTGTTGGCATGCCTCCGCAGTGGTGGGTTGTCAGAACTAAAGGCAGCAGCATCTCTGCTGGCACCTGGGCAGGTTAGTGCCGTAGAAGTTTGAGGGAGCATTCCTCTGAGGACTGCCATCCTAAAGATGCTGAGAAGGTCAAACATAAGTGTCCTGTGCAGGAACCACTTTGAAAGGCTCCCGTTGGCCTAATCTGGGACAGTGTGAGCCTCAAAATAACAGATTTTGTACTCACAGAATAAGGTAAGAATTCAGGCTCCTTGGATGTAGTTCTTTAAGTACAGCTCCTCAGGTACAGTTCCTCCAGATCTTTAGGCCTGTAAAACTAAAAAGACAAGTTATCTGACCCCTGCCCCCGCAACACACCCCCAGCATACATCGTACACTGGTGGGACAGACATGGGATAACTGCTGTAGACAGTCCTGTCCATAAAGGAGAAAAAGAGGGGTCACGGAGGAGCATCTGGTCTGGAGCAGTTCTGAAATGCCACCTGGTAAATGTGGGACGTTTTTTGATTAGGTCTCAAGGTCTGGGAACAATTCTCCATGTTCCCACCTCTCCCTCTGGGCTCTTGGTTCCACCATCTGAGCCTGTCTTTCTTTTTCATGGAAGGTCATATCTCTTCAGTATTTGTAGCTGAGTACTTTTTTCAGCCTGCTTCCTGTCAGCATAATTTGGGGGTGTCCAGTGGCCTCTTTTCACTTTGAACTGTCTTTATCCCTTTTAGACCAAGCTGGCAGTGATTTTGCCAATGTAATTCTCTCAAAAACTATGCAGATGTCCTGTGAATCTTGTGGTTCACTCAGTAGACAAGCGTCCCACCCACAGATTTCTTCGAAATAAACTCTTCTGTACCTTGGGCTCCTGCTGGGGTGGCCGAGGGACAGTGCCCTGCAGCTTCCTAGAGGCCCTGTCCTTAGGTTGAGAGGATCTGTGAGGTTCATCCTTAGTCTCCTTCAGGGGCCTTTTGTGTGACTGAATGGCACTCTGAAATACCATCTTTGATCTCTGAGGACTTCACCAAGAATTGTTCAGTCTCGGGCTTCCCTGGTGGCGCAGTGGTTGAGAGTCCGCCTGCCGATGCAGGGCACATGGGTCCGTGCCCCGGCCCGGGAAGATCCCACATGCTGCGGAGCGGCTGGGCCCATGAGCCACGGCCGCTGAGCCTGCGCGTCCGGAGCCTGTGCTCTGCAGCGGGAGAGGCCACAACAGTGAGAGGCCCGCGTACCGCAAAAAAAAAAAAAAAAAAATTGTTCAGTCTCACCTTCCCCTTTACATTCGGTTTTTCTGGTGGTGCCTTTGATTTGGTATTTCTCAGAAGTCTTTTCTTAATTTTTAGCTTCTTGAGAGGCTGAGAATTTTTTAAAGCTACCAAGTCATAGCTTCTTTTTCTTTTAACAGTCCTTTCCTCTCTCTGTCTCTGTCTGTCTCTGTCTGTCTCTCTCTCCCTCCCTCTCTCCCTCCCCGCCTACCCAGTCCCCGTTAACACTGTGTGGAAATCTCCTCGGTTAGGTTACCCGGTTCATTACCATCTGCTTTCCATGGATCTGCAGTTGACAGTGTTGCTAAGTGCTCTGTCTTAGCATAACGGGGATCCCCCTTCTTGAAGTTTCTAACAAGTTCCCCTTCCTTTTGAACCCTTACTGGCAAAGTCCAGATTTCTACTGACAAACTTTTTCAAGACTGCTTAGTCTCGAACAGATTTCTTGGTAGTTATACTCTGGTTGTCTAAGAGAATGTCCTTGAGATACACACTGAATTATTTAGGGGTCTGCAGTTTACCCTCAGATGATTTAGAGAAAATAAATTATGTGTGTATAGAAAAAAAAGATAAAGCGAATGTAGTAAAACGTTAGCATTTGAAGGATTTGGGTGAAGGTTATATGGCAATTCTTGGTACTATTTCTGTACCTTTTCTGAAGGCTGAGATTGTTTCAAAATAAAAGGAAAATGGGTATCCCTGAAAGGTGCTCACAGGATCAGTCTCTTGTTGGGAAGGGCTCGGTCGTGCCTCACCTTGAATGGGAGCCCTCTGCTCACCTTCTCTCCAGTTTCCTCGTCCCTGCAGGGGTGTCCTTGTCCCTGCAGGGGTGTCGAGCCTCGTCATTCTCCTCCAGGGCAGGGTGCCCTGCTCTGTTCTGAGGGACCAAGTGCAGGGGTGGCATTTCATTTACATTTTTTTTTAATAGCTCACTAACTTTTGTGTGAGAAAACCTGTATTCTGATTTTAAAGCCATTTAAAAAGAAGAACTCCTATCTAGTCCCATTTCCTCCCAGAAAAGCTCCTAGCTTACCTGTTGGGTATGGTTCACCAAAGTTAGAGTAATTGGGAAGGCTTGCCAGGATTGTCAGATTGAGTCTCTCCAGATGATAAATGTGTGTTAGAAAACAGAAACTGAGGCTTCATAGTCTCGCAGTGGTCCTTATTGATGGTGTACCAAAGAGGGAGTCTTCACCCTGTGTCCCTGTGTCTGTAAATACTCATTGTTGTTTGTCAGTTGAAGTCATCCAGACAAGGTCCTATTTCACGCTTCCGTTCATTAGTTTAACAAATATTTACCAAGTGCCTGAATGTGCCAGGCACTGTTCTGGTTCAAAAAGGAAAACAATAACCATAGTCTCTTCTGCTTTCATAGGATTTTTACGGTTTACAAAATTTGTCATTTAATCTTCACAGTAGCTTGGAAAGTGGGTTATATCCCTACACTGTGTTACAGGTAAGGGTGGGATCTCCCAGCATCTAAGAAGTTCTGGTAGTCCTGAACCCGATCTTAAGCCAAGAACTATTTTGAGTATAAATGAGATGAATGTGTCATCACTATGGGCACTTTGGAAGTCTCCAGAATTGTGGGTCTGTAGGATTTATACGATCTTTATTTGGGATGTCTGCCCCTGAGGGGCCATGATGCTATTGTGATTCCTCCCAAATAAAGAGAGAGCGCTTTTGTATTCAAAGGGAAAAAAACGAATGGGTGCTGTTAGTGTCAGTTTTCCCACAGATCTCAACAGAGCCAGTATGTGGTTTAGAGCAAAGAATGTAGGGGAAAGCAAGTCATACTTTCTCATGTTACTGACTGAGGTATTATCCCTGTGCCAAGCTGTGAATAGCGGCAGTCTAGATAAGGAGACCAGAGGGAGGGGGTATAGAGCAGGAAAGGTGCCCTTGCAGAATGTGTAGAGAGCAGATAGGGAGCCAGCCTGTTTGGAAACCGTTACGTACTGTGTGCAGGACTCGCCCTGCTGCTCTAAGCTACGAACAGAAGCCTGTGCGCAGCAAGGCACCTGCTCTGTTAGCCCTGTCTGTGTGCATTCTCAGGATTTATTCAGACATTATAGTGATTGAAGTAGTATGCTGCAGATACGTAAGTAACAGATCGTGGACTGAATAGAAAACTCATAGACAGACCATAATATTTACAACAACTTAGGGTATTTGGTGCTGTGTGTTTCTAATTAGTGTGATGAGGATGGATTATTTTCACTTAAGAATCTTGCATCAGTAGTTCAACTCCATCTCATACTGTTTTAGCAGAAGGGTTGAAAGTAAAAATAGCAGTGACAGTTGGTCCTGTTGGTCTGATGTTTGCCTTGAATAGGACTGCCCTTCAGTGTGGCGCTGTTGGATACTGTCTCCACAAGTCACTGTTAGCACTGTGCTGAGAGCTAGCGGGGCAGAGTCCCTGCCCCAAGACGGGCTCCCCCGACTGGTTTTGCACCCAGCAGGTTTGCGTGTAACAGCTAAGTTAATGTTGCAGTGGAATTCTGCTTCGGGGGAATTATTCCATATCGAGTTAGCTTGCTGACAGGTGCTGTCACCCTGTCATAGATGGTAAGGGAATCATTGTGCTGCGGATCGTAACACTACCAGCAAAGAGCTTCTTAGCTGCTCACCTCACCTTCAGGCTTCCGCACCTTCAGTCTTTTTGCCGCGTTGCCACCACACTTAGATTTCTGTGGTGTGTAGCATGTGTGTGTAGCAAACTCTGTAGCATGACTTTCATGGTCTTCTGTGTCGAGCGTGGTGCTAGCATTCCCGTCGAGCCTTAGTATCAAGTTGGTTTTGCACTGGCCGCCCAGGTGGCTTCTCAAAAGGTGCCAGGTGATTTATATTTCCATACCTTTGTTCATTTCACTTCCTGCCCCAGGAATTCTGTCTTTTTCCTCCCTCAGCCTCCCATAGGTTCCGACAAATTCTGGCTTGTCTTCCAAGGCTCAGCTAGGGGTCCCCTTGCCTGTGAATCCTTGTGATCCCCTTGCTGGGTGCATCCAGAGCGCTGTTGTTTCCCTTCTTACGGCACCTTATGAAATTCACTTATCCCAGTTTTTCTACGGCCCATTTGGGGGCCAGTTTTTTTCACTTACACAGGAGCTAAACCTGCTCACAGCTTGTCTGGAGACACATGGCATCATACATACTTTGTTGTAAGCAAGAGGCCAATATGGATTTCTGTTTATTAACCTTAGCTTAGGTTTTATTTATTTTTTTGCAAAAACAATTTTTAAATATATTGCAAACATTACTACAAGTTTATATAAACTTTCATAGCCTCCAAATAGCTGGTAAAATGGTGAGCATTGATGGTGGAACTACTACTAATTTCCTGGTCATCTCAGGAATGTAAAAGAATTTTTTTATGAATCTTAATACCAAAGTCTCTAGTTGTGTAGCATGCATTATTTTCCATGATTAGAAATGCTGTTTTTATATTAATTATCATGGGAATGCATGGCTGCCTGTGAAAGTTTGTGAGCACTTTTCTTGGAGCTACTCTCACTTAATTAGCGAGGAGTGAGCATTTGTCAGTTTGGACGTCTCTTAGATCTCTACTGCGCTTTCCAGAGTCAGGGACAGTGTCCTGATCCTCTCTATTGCTTTGTATCCTCACTACCTGATACAGTTGATAGGTGAATGTCTGTTTAGTAATAAAGTCTCATACTCCCCCTCCCCCCTGCGCCATTCCTCCCCCACCGCCGTCTCTTTAACTACTACTTCCATACTTACGGAGGCCTATGCAGCTTCAGAAATTCAAGTCGATGAACATTGTCAGATGTGATTACAGTTAGAGTAGATATAGTTTAGAAGGAAGACTGGTTTTCTCACACCAAAATTATTACCCCAGGGTGAAAAAAAAGACAAACTTTTATATTATCCAGAAAAATGTTGTTCATTTGCATTGTTTCTGCTTTTTTTTTTTTTTTTTTTACCCTTTTTGGCCCCTTTAATCTGTAAACAAGGCCCCTTATGCACGCATGTTAGTTCATATAAAGAAGATTGACCACTGTGCCACTATTAATAAGAGATGGGCAATAATTATTAACAATTCTGCTTTTATTTTTTGCTATTCATTTGCTTGTATTTAAATTGCTAAGTTTAAATTTCTGTATCTTCTTTTTTCCAGCCATCAAAAATAAGGATTAATTTAGAAGATAATGTACAATATGTGTCCATGAGAAGTAAGTTGATTCGATTCCTGAATCAGTTTTAGGTTTTGTAGTTTGAACTTCATATGATTTAAGTGATTTATTTTAAATGTACACGAGTTGATGAGTAACTTAAAATGCATTGTTTGTACACTGAAATGTAAAAGCTTGGAATTTCAGCAAAAATTCCTGAGGTTGTGGGCTGTTAATGTGCACAAATGCCAGTTTATTCTCCATTGCTTTGGAAATGTCATTTTTAAAACAGAATGGTCTCTGTCGGGGTATTTTCCCAGAGTTCTGTGAGAGCAGTTGTCACCGCAAGCAGAACTGAAGGCAGTTTGGCAGCAAGCGTGTGGACAGTCTTTGGCCTTCCTGGTTTCCTTTGATTCCCTGTGCCCTTCCCATCTACTTCTGCCGTGGATCAGTGTTCAGAGTCAGTCAGGTAGTTCCCTGTCTTTCTGAAAATTGTTATGACAAATGGCCCCACCCCCGTTTCTTCTTAATTTGGTGCTAATCTCGGTGGGTAGGTGGTGCATAGGTGCCCACGAGGAACCATAACCTCAACCTTTATTTCTCCCCGGCCCTGCCACAGTCCCACCCGTATCTGGCCCCCAGGTTTGGCCAGTTTTACTCTGGAAGCGTTTCCTTCGTCTGCCGCATACCACCAACTTATACTCATGTCTCACATTTATGGAGCTTGTACAGTGCCTGGCCTGTATTAAGCTCTTTGCACGGATTATCACAACAACCTTTCAAAATTCAGGTTTGGATGATTATTCCCGTTTGATAGATGAGTAAACTGATGCCCAGAGATTAAGTAACTTGCTCAGTCAGGATTCAACCCCATGCTCAGACTTGATCCCACAGTCTTACCCACAGGTCAGGCTGCTGCTTCTCGGGCAGGAAGCAGTGGCCTAGCCATCTAAGTCAGTCACTTGCTCCAGGCTCTTCCACCCCCTCACCTCTTCCGTTCTACTGCCCGTGTGATCTTTTAATACAGCAATTAGATGATGGTATCACTCAACCTAAACTTCTGCAGTGATGCTCTGTTACATATGGAGAAAACCCTGACTCCTCATTTATTTCTATTAAATTCTATTAAGAAACAAGGCAGAGAACGGACAGACAGATGCACAAGGCCCTTGATGGCCATTTCCCGCTCCACTTTGCAGCCTCATCTCCCAGTACTCTACACCCTCCCCCCATCGCAAACGCTGTACAGCTGTGGATTCCCTACAAACACCGTGTTCTCACACGGGGCTCTGCTGTTTCCTGCGCCTCACTCACCCCCGTCGCCCTCCACCTTCCTGTCCATCTTTCTATGCTCTGTTCCCAGCACACGCCCATTAGGAGGCCTCCCCTGTTTCCCACTCCAGTTAAGGTTTTATTTCATCTTATGTAACTTTGAATCCCTCTGGCACACTCATCTCAGGGTTTGGGGCAGAGTTCCTGCTAGACTGTGGAACATGGAACACCTTTGTTTTGGAGACCATTTTAATCATGTTTATATCCCTTCAGCAGCTGTCACGTTATAGGTGTTCAGTTAATATCTGTTCTTTATAAAATGACTGGCATGATAGGAATATACTTATCCTGAACTTATAAGACCATGTCTTGTTAGTAATTTAGTATCATTACAGTTGACCCTTGAATGACAGGGTTTGAACTCTGCAGGTTGACTTAGATGAGAATATTTTTCAGTAGTAAAGACTGCAGTACTAAATGGTCTGGTTGATTGAATCCGCAGATACGGAGGGCCACGATAAATTATACGCAGGTTAACTCCTGCGTTGTTCAAGGGTCAAATGTAAATGTTTTTAAAGTCAGAGTTTCTCATTTGTAATCTTCCAAGATATGTTGTAGAATTGTGACTGTCTTCTGCTTCCATTTTGTTAAAAAGTTTAATTCCTCTTTAATCCTGTTTAATCTTAAGTATAGGAGTAGCCTCCACATGGAAGACATTTACATCATAAAATACGTACTTTTGTTTCTTGCAGTAACCACCAGTGGTCTTTAAACTGAATATGACATTGTAGAGGTTCTGGATAAGGGCATTTTTGATTGAAGATAGGATGACTGTTTCTTTTGAAGCATACTGTGGTGTGCCATGAAGTAGAAAAAAAGAGTAATCGTATACTCCACACCAGAAGGACAGCTAAATTATTCATGGAAGTATTTCCTCTGCACACTAAACCATAAGAACTTTTTTCCTAGTATCAAATTGGGAAAGATGAAAAGAATGATAATATTCAGTTTACCCCTTCATTTAGTGAAGTTAATACAGGGTAGTGAATTCCTCAAGGTGTAATGTCACAGTTATCCTAATTGGAAGACTAACTTGAGCTCTTCTGACCTTCATCAGACAGGGCAACACTATGACGTGTATAGGAACATTTTAAACATTTTTTATTCTAAAGCCAAGTCTCTAACTTTGCTTTATAAAGAATTTCCTAACTTGAAGACCAAATGAGAAATTGAGTTTTAAAAATCATTTCTAATCCTATTCCAGATAGTGGTGTGGACGCAAGTGCAGACTCAGCACTTCGTGTCTGATATGGTGCCGTGATGCCTTTTCAATTCACGTATTCAGTGGAAACTGGTTGCGTATTTCAAATACTCCTTTAAGTCTAAAGCCTTTGTTTACCTGCAATAGGCTAATACATTTTTATCCAGTTTGAGAAATGGATTTCGTAAAAATTAGCTCTGATTTGGTCAGTGTGTAGAATATCTGTAGGTGTCTGTGCTTACTGACCAAGAATAAATAAATGGTTTTTTTAATGAGTTGAGAAAGAAATGCTCTTTTAAATTTTATGAATTGTGTTTGTTTTGTTTCCCAGAAGCTCTAAAAGTGAAGAGACCTCGTTTTGATGTATCACTGGTTTATTTAACTCGAAAATTTATGGATCTTGTCAGATCTGCTCCTGGGGGTATTCTTGACTTAAACAAGGTTGCAACAAAACTAGGCGTACGAAAACGAAGAGTGTATGACATCACCAATGTTCTGGATGGAATTGATCTGGTTGAAAAGAAGTCTAAGAACCATATTCGATGGATGTGAGTTGTCTTCAAACTTTTCTTCTTCTTTTTTTTTTTCCCCTTCTTATTAAGTGACAACACTGTGCTGTACAAAATAGTTACTAGCAATGTCTTTTTCCTACTTGGTACCAATTAAAAGCCATAGACATAGACTATCATTCCAATATTATGGAAAAGTTAAATGGAGTCATGATTAGTTTTAAGAATTTCACTTTTCAAGATAAGGGGACGTCTGATTTGTATAGGAATTTAAAAATAAATATTTCTTCAGTTCTAATTGATTATTGACATCAGGGGGAAGGCAGTTAAGGCTGTAAAACGGTGGTTCTTCCACTGTCGTGTCATAAACACTTAGATGCCTCCCTCCCCAGGGGCTGTAATTCAGTTCTGGGAGAAGACAGATACCTACCTTCTTAACAGCTACCCCCAAGTGATTATGGTGCATATCATACTTCGAAACACAATGCCCTGAATGTAAAAAAAAAAAATCAGGAGACTTAATATCTAAAAGTCAGTATAGCTAAGGCTTAACATATGATTAGGAGGGATCTCATGGAAAGAAGACTTTATGGTATAAATGTAGGGGGGTGTGTGTGTGTGTGTCCCCACGTGCACACGTGCAGGGAACGCGCACAGGAAGAAGGCTATTATACTCACAATAGGCAAGTATTTTGGATCAGTAAGAAACAGTTCCAGCGTGTAAGCACATAAAGACCTTTCAGGCAAGTGACAAATCTACCAACAAAGACCATTAAATGATTCTACGTAATTAACTTAGCTATTAGAGGAAAGGGATTCATAAAGGACGTTATTTTTTCAATATTATGGAAATGCAAATTGGATTCTAATTTGAACATGTTTGCTAAATGACATTAACATTTTAGGGGTTCATATCAGATTGTGTTCTGAATCACTAATTAGAATCAGATTGGAGAACTAGCAAGTGAAAGAAAGGTGAAGTGGTAACAGCCTTTTCACTTTTTATTTTCTATAAAAATTGAAGAAAAGAATGAATATTGGTTGTTGCTCAGGTCATGTCATATTGGGGTAAACAGTAATAAAGAAAATATATCTTTAAAAAATGATCATTATATTCAGATAGAACTGGGTAGAATATGCACAGTGGGGAAAAAATAAAGACTTACAGAATTTTAGCAGGGGAACTGTCATTTGGCCAATACATCTTATTTTTCATATGTAAGAACTAAAGGATTAAAAGGTCATAACTTGTCAAAAGTCACGTGAAAAGTAGAGCTGGGCTGAAACTGGGTGTTACTGACTCAGTTCAGTGCTCATTAAACTTCATTAAGCTTTCCCTACTATTACTAATTTCCACAGGGTTATGATGTTGGTTTTGTTTTTAAAGTCTCTGTGTAAGGGAATAGAAATGGGGACAAAAACCGGGAGAAATAATGGTTGTCTAGAATAATGGGAGGGAAGGACTGGAGTTCAGTACCTGGTTTCTGTCATTGTGGGAAACACCTGGTGTAAACGTTTGGAGAAGTTCCAGTAACGTAACTTGTATGTTTTTGTAATCTCCTAGATGCTATTGATGGTGATCTTTTTCTTTTAAAGAGGGTCTGATCTGAGCAATTTTGGAGCAGTGCCCCAACAGAAGAAGCTGCAGGAGGAACTTTCTGATTTATCGGCGATGGAGGACGCTCTGGATGAGTTAATTAAGGATTGTGCTCAGCAGTTGTTCAAGTTAACAGACGACAAAGAAAATGAAAGATATCCTTTAACTCTGTGCCTTTAAAAAAATTCTCCTTCCAAAGCAGATTACTTTATATGGCAGGGTCAGCTTGGGGATTAATTAATATATTTAAGATACAAAATAAGACCTTTAGAAGTGAGTGAATTGCCATAGAAATGGTACTTAAACTGCCATTCTAGTCCACAAAGCATAACACGCAGCTGAATGTCGTACTGCTCCTAAGTTCAGTGTCTCTGGGACCAGAGGGGGAGATTTGTCTTTGGTACTGATCTCCTCCCGGATCTCCTAGACTGTTTGGCTGCCCTGTTCCCCACACGGAACAGGTGAACACCTTTTGAGGTGTCGCTGATTCTGAGCTGTTCCGTGCTTCAAGTTTACTTAGACTCTACCCCAGTCAAAACTCCCATTTCCACAATACAGTTATTAGAAGGAAGGTAAATGCTATTACTACACTCAATCAAAAGATGTGTGGAATAAGAAAAAAAAAAAAAAAGAATGCTGGGGAAACCCAGTAAATCATGTAACTGGTAAAAATTTCAGGCAACACAATAAAAGAAGATGAGAAAAATTCAGGTAGCGAGATGGAAAATAATTTTGGATGAGGGAAATCCCGTGAGTACATCATAGTCCTGAAAAACTGGTTCTCTAAGTTGTGTCTCCTACTTACCGATTCTTTCCACCTTACATTTTAGGAGATTCTCATCAAAACTCTGAATATTTTTTCCCAAAGGTTCTCACAGTAAGATCTCGCAGTGCATAGGGAAGGGCGGGGGGAGGTTTGATGCCTTCGTGGGTTGTATTTGTGTGAGAGGTCCAGACTTCATTAACATTTTTCTCCAGAAAGTGTCGTCATCACAATAGTATAGTTTACAGGGATTCTTCAAGTTATAAATATTGTAAAACACTTAATAAAATCTTAAGAATTGTTTATGAAATAATAAGAACTATATATGAAATAATTTTTTCCTGACTGCTTTCCTTAATTGTGAGTTTGTATCCCATAAAAACTAATGATATTCTAAGATTACACTTGGATTCATGTATTATAAGAGATAAATGATCTCCCCACTGTGCTTAGAGACCCTTGACTGATTTTCACACTAGCATATGTGACGTATCAAGATATTCATAGCATTCAAGCCTTCCATGAACAGATTGTAATTGCAGTTAAGGCTCCGGCAGAAACCAGGTTGGATGTTCCAGCGCCCAGAGAAGTAGGTAACCTTGCATTTTTAAGGTCTTAAAGGGAGGCAGGCCAGTTGCTTAGGCTGTGCTTTATTGCAGTCCCAGCGCCTTATCACCAGTGTGTGCGTGGTAGCTGCATACCTGATATAGCTTGAGGCACTTTACACATTCTGAGCTGTTTCGCGTAACACGACAAACGCGGTAGCCATGATTATTATCCTTTTAAAGATGAGGAATCTGAAGCACAGAAAGATGAGTTACTTCCTCACCATCCACAGTAAGTGACAGAACCACAGTTCAAACCCAGGTAGTTTGGGTTCGCAGTCTGTTCTTAACCGTTGTGCTCTCCTGCCTCTTAGAGGACTCCCCGAGGACTGCCTCGGTGTTACGGTTCAGTGTCAGCGGGGGCTCTAGGGAATTAACTCACTAACCAAATTCATAAAAGACTGTGAATAAAAGAGAACACTAAATTACACATTTAAAATGAAAAGTAAAATTGCTTTGTAAATGAAAAGACTGTCCGCTGCTTGTAGGAAAGTTTGTACTGAAAGATACTTGTCATCAGAAGGTTGCGTGGTAAGGGTGGAATCAGAACGAAGGAGCGTGACCATTCTTAGGACAGATCAAGTGCCGACAGCCTGATAGAACTGTCACTGCACTGTGATAGGGACTTAACTCCCTCATCGGGAAGAAATTCTCACCACCCACCTTTCCTTTTATCCCCAGAAGACCACTGTCCATGTGAGACCCCAGTTGCTACTTGACAGTGTGTTACAGACGGATTAAGGAACAGCTTTCGTTGATTCCAGTCACACTCAAGTTGTGACTTCTTGGTGATGCTTCCTAGTTGTTTTATTTAGATTTAGATACATTCCGAGTCTCCTAAGTAACATTTATCTTTAATATGAATCATTTCACATATTCACATTCACACATCATCACTAATCTTTCAATACATCCTTCCTTGGGGGCATGATAGTCCATTCTGCAGTGGCTGATGGGTTTTTGGTTTTTTCCCTGTGCTGTGAACTGCTTCAGGCTCTAATTGTCAAATCTTGCTGAGCCTTCGATCATGCCCAAGATGTCTCTTAGATCCCGTTCAAAAGCTGAGGAACGTGGGCCCTCTTGGCAGCCATTCTCAGCAGTAAGGAGAGACAGTGGGACCGATAAGACACAGAGTCTGACTCCAGGGAGATCTGGGGATCTAGTCCCGGTGGAGATGGACTGGCCTGTGGGTCAAATCCAGCCTGCTGGCTTTTTGTAAATAATTGTTTTGGGACACAGCCACGTGCCCATTCGTTTAGATTGTGTCTCTGACTGCTTTCACTCTAGAATGGCACTTGTGTGGTTGTGAGAAGGATGGCATGGCCCCCACAAAGTCAACAGTATTACCTCGCGCTGCACAGAGACGTGGGCAGCCCCTGGCTGAGTGGACTGCGAGGTCCTCAGCTGCCGCTTCTGGGCAGCTTAGTGGTTTCCCTATTGCTCAGAAGTATCTATCGAATTGCACAACGTGTACCGTTCAAACAAGACCTGGCCTGCCCATCTAGGAGCTGAGCAGATGTTCTTCAGCGTACCTGCCTGCTGCCGGGAAGCTGTGGAAGGTGGCACTTGAGGTTGGGAGCCCCTCTGCTGTGAGATCACAGGGTGGTGTAGAGCAGGGGCACCTGGGACCAAGCCCAGGCCTAAGCACAGGAGAGGGGAGAAAATAGCCTTGACTATTGAACCCACTCGCATCAAAACAACAAAGAATCATCTGTAACCGGGACTGTTCCTTACGAGTTTAGCATAATTCTCAGTAGAAGTACCCAATTTCCTGATATCTTTTGGGTTTTAATGTTTTAAATTACAAGAGGTATATTTTGTCTTGATCTCATCCTCTTTTGCAAGTGGATGGAAGAATGGTCCTTTCATTTAGCTCAGTACCTCTTCAGGGGTCTGAAATCTTAACACAGCCTTATCATTTGAGTCTGCAGGGTGTTTTAGATTTCTTTGTCGTCAAAATACTGATCTTTGAGTCTCAAGTACAGACTCCTTAAAGGGGTCAAGTCTTGAGTAGAGAAAGGCGGGCTCCTGAGTGCTGAGGTGGCCCCTCCTGGCTCTGAAACCATTGCTGCACAGTCAAGTAACTGTGTTAACTGTGTGAACTGGCCAGTGGTTTCCTGTGACTCAAGCTAACTAATAAATACGTGATTTTCCCAAATATGTGATAGAAAGGAAACTACCTGAATGAGAATTTTCAAAAGTGTCCCTTGAAACTTTTACACTTCTAGTAAGTGAAAAAATATAATTAATGAATTCTCTCATTCATCTAGATGTTTCCTGTGTCTTTGCTAGGACTCTATCACGGTCCATATCAGGAGCACTCAGGGGCCTATCGATGTTTATCTATGTGAAGTGGAGCAGAGCCACCCAAGCAGTAACGTGTCGGACGGTGTCGGCGCCTCTTCATCTGAAAGCAGACATCCAGAGCAGCCCGCCCCTGAGAAAGGTAAGTGCACCAATCTTGTCATTAGGAAAATGTAAGGTTTTAATGATTTTTAAAATAGATAGAGTTTTATAAATGAATATTATGGCCTTATAGGTATTTTTACTCTTCCTAGCTACAAAAGCATGAGTTAAAAAATTACAAGGTAATTCTTAACTGTAGCTTAGACTGTTTCTGTGTAGTTTTGATAGCCGTGAAAACTTAGAATTGTAGTTGGTCCCAGAGTGTGGTCTCTGTAGAGAAGGCTGTTTGCATCCTCTGACCCGGCCTCTAAGGCACATGCTTGAGTTCTCGTTTATTCTTGTGAGACTCAAAACATTAGCCTTATGCCGTTAACGTAAGAATATGCTTCTTGACCGAGGTCCTCCTATTTTTTTTTAAGCACTTGAATTGTATGTTCTATTACGTGTCTGCCTTTCATATCTTCACTTAGGAGGGTTTCTCTTGTGCTTGTTATTTTTCAGAAGAAAACCCTCCACAGCAAAGTGAAGAACTGCTTGAAGTGAGCAATTGATGGCATTTGAGGATTCGTGCATTGAGTCTTTTGGGGACATCCTGTGTGGATGAATTATGCATTAGATGTGATTCTCAGAGCAATAAATCATCCCAGACATTTTCTCAGTAGCAGCAGTAAGGCCAGGAGTACCTTCAAGTAGTTCACTACTTAGATTACTGGATAATTATGGTTTCTTCATTTGAAAACAACTCTTTTTATAATTATTCACTGCTTTTTGTCAGTGAAATAGACATCTTGCCTACTGAAATTACTAAATCACCCAGAGTATCACTGAAACAGACAGGCAGGCTGGATGGACAGTTCTCAGTGGACCTTGCCCTTTGCTGCGTGGATCATGTGTCATTATCACAAAAGAAATTGCCTTACACGGGTTCATGTCTGCAATGGATGGGTGTACGCACGCATCTGGACATGATGTCTTTGTATATATTTGTATAATGTTTAGATCACTTATGAAGTACGTCGAAGTGAAACTTTTCACCTTTGTACAGCCAAAATAATGTATATATGGAAAGTAACAGACATATTCTCTAATTTCTGTGGTATCTATAACTTATTAGAATCCTCTGGATGAGGGTTAGAGGAGAGTTTTTCCCAAACTTCTACATGTAGAAGTATCATAAATATGCTATACATTTAAAGTTCATGGATTTAATGAAGGTATTTCAGTATGGTTCCCAGCGCTAAAATTGGACTTTAAGCTCCCTACAGAGTCATTGTGTCTGAACAGACTGGTGGCATGCCCCAAGCTTTAGGGGCGAGTGTACAAATGCCATCAGGTCATGGCTTAATTCCTTGCAAGACATGAATTCAATCATGATGAGAATTGGAAAGTATTTTAACCTTTCTTGCAAGCAGGGTTTATATATGTTTCTGTATGCAGCCTTGCTCTTCAATCAAAGGGGATCTTTTACTTACGATGAGTTAGTGGTACCTGCCCTCTCTTCAGCTCCAGTCCCCCGTTTCCAAGTACCTAGCTCTTTCTACCTCATTGGGTAAGTCATTTACCACTCTGTGCCTCAGTTTACTCAGTAGTTTACCATTAGACTGTGAGCTCCTTGAGGGACTTTGTCTTAATCATTGTTAAACCCAGCGACTGGCACCACGCCTAGCACATAAAAAGTGCTCAGTAAATGTTTGAACAAATCAGTGAGTGAGTGAGTGAGTGCATGAATGGTCAGATTAGACTAATGATCCTTGACTTATGTAACGTACAAGGGTTTTGTGTCGTTCGGATTCATATTTTAAACTTCTCTTACTTTCAAAGAAAGAATTGAAGCAACGTGAAATTAAGACCATGTGTAAAGAGTTGGCGCAGGAATCAAAAATCAAAATACTGAAAAATAATGCTGAGCATTGAGGACTGGCACACCTCTGAGCTCCAGCGGCTTTTGCGGTCCTGTCCCTCTGCTGAGCTCCAGCCTCTCCCCTCCTCACAGACCGTGGCGGCTGCCTTTGTCGGCCCGGGACTGCTTGCCGTGCTGCTCCTCCTGGGCGCGTGTGGTGAACCTGAGAGTTCAGCAGAAGGGGTGTGTAGAGATCACGTGCTCCGTGCAGAGGTCCAGGCTCTGCCTTGTAGATTTGGCAGCTGTCGGTCATATGTGATGGCTAAACATGAGAGTGCATGAGGTCACCTAATGAGAGGGTACAGCAGAAGAGGGAGAGGCCCGTTAACATTTATTTTAAGGGGAAATACAGAAGAAAAGGCTTTTCCTGAGAAGGAATAATGAGAGGAAGGGAACATAAACAACTGAAGGAGGCGGTGCCCCCAAAACCAACAAAGAAAGCAGGGCCACAGGTGATAGCATCGTTTCTAAGCAGCAGTTCCTTACTTGTGAAATGTGACAAATGTTCTACTTTGCAAACTGCTCTGAGAGTAAAATGAGATCATGTAAACGAAAGTCCTTTGTGAACTGTAGACGTGTTACATAAATGAATCTCTCTCCTGTCACTCCAGCTTCTGGTGTTGGTTTCTTCTTTTTACAGCTGCTAAGGTACGCATCCCCAGAACTAGCGTCCAGGGTTCTTCCTCCCCCACTCTGCCCCGAACATCACTACCCATCTCTGTGCGCACAGGCGCACCTCATTTTATTGTGCTTCACAGATGCTGTGATTTTGAAAAATTGAAGGTTTGTGGCCACCCTGTGTCCAGCAAGTCTGTAGGCGCTATTTTCCCAGTAGCGTTTGCTCATTTCATGTCTCTGTGTCACCTTTTGGTAATTCTTGTAATATTTCAAATGTTTTCGTTATTATGATGTTTGTTATAAATATAAAACTTGAACAGATGAGGAGCTGCTTCTTATTGATGAACCAAGAAAGTGGTTTCTTGAGTTGGAATCTAATCCCAGTGAAGATGCTGTGAAGATTGTTGAAATGACAACAAAGGATTGAGAATATGACAGATGTAGTTGAGAAAGCAGCATCAGGGTTTGAGAGGCTTGATGCCAATTTTGAAAGACGTTCTGCTGTGGGTAAAATGCTAGCAAACAGCGTTGCAGCCTACAGAGAAATCATCCCTGAAAGGAGGAGTCTACTTCATTGTTGTCTGACTTCAGGAAATTGCCACAGCCTTCGTCTACTAATCTAAAGCCGTGTCTCCAGTCAGCTTTATTAATAATGGTAGAGATACTTTATTAATATCTGATGTCCGTCTCTCAGACCTCTGTGTCTACCAGTTAATTCTGAACGTGGAAGGGGAAGAGGGATGTTACTTACCGGGAAAAGAAACCATAACAGACTTTGCACTGGGGCACCCATATTAGCAAGGATTAAATTCAGCTGCAAGTAGCAGAAAAACCCCAAAATAACAGCAGCTTAAGAAAGATACAAGTTCATCTGTCACATACAGGAAGTCTGCAGATAGCCCAGAGTTGGTGTGGCCTCCAAGGGGTCAGGGACCAAGTTTCCTTCCAGGTGGTTCTCCCTTCAGGCTTGGCTTCCATTTCCGAGTTCACTGCAAAGTCCAGGAGAGCTGCTGGAGCCCCAGCCGTTGTGTCTACATACTAGCCAGCAGGCAGGATGAAGAAAGAGAAGAAAGGCACACCTCTCCTTGAGGACACTTCCTGCAGTTCACTTCACGTTACATCCACTGGCCACAATGTAGCCACTTAGCTTTAGAAATGTAATCTTGGGTACGGGGACAGCCACGTGCCCAGCTAACACCTGGAGCTCTATTGCTGTTGAAGAAGAGTAGACCCAGGGTGTGGTTAGACATTATTAGATCCTATTCTCCTCCCCTCTGGGCAGGGAGATGACCTCCAGTGAGACCGCACGACTAGTTCTAGCCAGCTGGCTATGAAAGGAAGTGACATGTGAAAAGACTACATGCAATTGTGCAGCAGCTCTTCCCGCCCCAGTAACCAAGAAAGCCACAGGTTCTAGGTGATGCGGCTATAAGATCCTGGAGTCTCCATCAGCCTGGTTCCCCAAGAGACTGTGTGGAATTGCCCTGCCCATCTGCATGCAATGTGGAATGTGCCAAATCATCGGGATTTACTTGGAGCTAATTTGTTGCTGCAACATAACCCAGCCTGTGCTGACTAGTATGTTTGGGGACGACTAGCAATCTCTGCCACAAGTCAGTGAATGAAAGACTCAAAAACAGCCTCACACCAAACCAGTGTCATACCTTCAGCACACTCCCAACTTGTCAGTTGCTTATGATCAATAAAATGGGAGTATTAACGCATTTGTTGGCCGCTAGCGTCCTGGGAGGCTAACACAAATTTGTGTAATGATTGCCATCTAGTGGAGAGTTCAGAGTTTCCAGATTTCTTCGCTTATTTCCAATTAGGCAGATGCTGCTAGAGAATAGCATTGACTTTAAATTTACAGATCCCGTTCTTGTTGATAAAGTGAATTCACACTAGTTCTCACATAGAGGTCACAACTGTTAAGATATCAGCATTATATTCTAGCTGTGGCCATGTCTAGATCATGTTCTTGCCATGATCTAGTCTGCAGAGATCTTGAGTGTCTTCACTCCCCTCAGAACATCGCATTGGCCCATGACTTTGGATCTGTTGAGCAGGAAGTAGTAAATGCCTTAGATGTTTCAGTAAGACGTACGTGTTCCAAAGACGGTGTGACAAACACTCTTAATACCAAGTACAGTATCAGGCAGGGTCCAGTAAGAAAACCATGGTGGGTATCACATCAGAGGTGAGTTAATACAAGAAGGCTGAAGTAGCAAAAAAGGGCCTTGAGGTAACAGATATTAATAATTCAGGAAGCAGCTACCACCCCTAGGATAAAGTAGCATTCCCGTAACCCGGGAGCCCAGAGGAGAGGTCCTCACATCTCTGGAGGAGATGCCACACCAGTGCTGTGGTGGGGAAGGAGACACCCACCTAATGGTTAGTAAGTACTCAAACCTCTGATCGGGGTGGGACACAGGCATGCACACCACTAAGGGGGTTACAGCCACTAGTGCTGGCACTCCTGAGGGGACACCATGGCCGGTGCTAGGGCTACCAAAGGGATCTGGAAAGTGGAGCCGCGCGGTCCTCTGTTGCTGCTGGGACACTGACAGGAGCTAGAAAAAGGAAGAAAGTCACTTCTGTCCTCTTCCTGCATTCCATTCTCCCACCACTGCCTGCTTATCAGCACCCAACTGGCCAGCAGGGGAGGATAGGCCACGGGGTTTGCAGGGCCCAGTCCCAGCGTGACAGAACAGAGCATAGAAGGGTGGGATGGATCTGAGAGAAAGGAAACACCCAGCACGTCCTTCCTACCCATAACGGCCGCATGGTGTAGGCAGCCCAACTCTGCCCTTCGCTAAGTATGACTTTAGAGAAATCACCCTGTTTTCCCACCTGTAGGCTAATTGTAAAATTCCATTATACAGTTGACACGAATAACACGGGTTCGACCTGCACAAGTCCAGTTATATGTGGACTTTTTTTTTCAAAAACTACTTTAGGATCACACGATCCCAGGTTGGTGGAACCCACAGATGCGGAACCCGCGGGTACAGAGGAACTGCGAATAGGAGGACGGACTGTAAAATTAAATGTGGATTTTCAGCTGTGCCAGGTGGGCGCCCCTAAGTCCCGCATTGTTCAAGGGGTAACTGTAGTTCTATCGTCTGTGATTCTAAATTGATTCCTGGGTCCAAGATGACCCTCAGTCCAAGTGGATGGCTGTGATGCGGGTTGTTTCTTGGAGATTTGCCTTCTGATGGTACGTGTTGTAATACAGTTTGAACTGCATAAATGCAAACCAACCTCATTAGGAGCTGTCATCTCCCTTCCTCCTTCACCTCCACTCTTCTTTACTGTAGTGGAGACGAGGATTTGCTGCAGTAATTCAAGGCTCTTATTCTCAAGGTTACCTTACATCCTCTCTGGCCTTTTGCCAGTGCACGAGCTGTGGGAAAAGCAGGTACCTGGTTCTCTATGTATAGCCTGAAACTCTGGTGAGAGGAGGTAAAACCTTAGTCTTTTTAAAACCTGGGAGTGGTATCTACAAAGGTGGCCACTTCAACTGTTTACACTGCTCTGAAATGTGGGCCCAGGAACGCAGCCCACAGGTCTGTAAGCTGAGCATGTTCCAACACAGAATCTCTCCACTCACGAATGGAGTGGTTATGCGGTTGGGCTGGAAAGCGCTGCCCAGCATTTTTGCAGCATTTCAGTCCTGAAGCATAGGTTGCTGTGTAGGCAGAAAGAAAAGTAAATCACCCACCCTACATCAGATTGGTAACCGAGCTCCTTCGCACATTTCTTCTAGAATTTATTCTAGCTGCCCCAAAGGCAGCTGTTGTAATGGAAAAATAAAGAACATATGTGAAATTGATGGGGGAAAATTATTTTCAGGTTTAACCAGAGTTCTATGAGGCTTGTTTCCTTTAAGTGTCTTTCGTTTCCCATAATCAACTTATTTATAAAGAGAGATTCTATTTGAATTCCGAAGTGTAAGTTTTACTAATCTTTGTGTTCTGCTTTATTCCTCCAGAGTCAATCAGCCTCTTTTTGATCACGGTTTCTTTACGCTAAGAAATGTATGGATCTTCTGAAATCTGCCCCGATGGCATTCTTAATTTAAATGGGGTCGCATCAATGTTGGGAGTAGGGGAAAAAAAGAGCAGATAACATCACCAACGTGTTACGTGGTACCTCATTCAAGACAAATCTAAGAATCACAACGGATGTGAGTTGTTTTCAAACTTTTCATTATTTTTAAGCTTTAGTTATAGAGGAATTATATTGCTGTTAAAAGCTGAATATGGGATTTCCCTGGTGGTCCAGCGGTTAAGATTCTGCACTGCCAATGCAGGGGACCTGGGTTTGATCCCTAGTCAGGAAACTAAGATCACACATACCACAACTAAGCCCACACGCCACAACTACTGAGCCCGCATGCTCTAGATCCCTCGCACCACAACCAGAGAGCCCGTACGCCGAAACTAGAGAAGCCCGTGCACTGCAACAAAGAGCCCACATGCCACGACGAAGACCTAGCACAGCCGAAACAAATAAATAATAAATTTTTGTAAAAAGCCGAATATGACAGTAATGGGAAATTATAAGGCATATTAAGAAATTGATGTTCAATAAGGATTAACTGCAAGCAAAGGTCTATAAAAGAGTGAACATAGCAGAGTCCTTTCTGAGACAAGCTCTGTTATAGGCGTTCGAAAGATAAAAACAAAGGGGACTTTCCTGGCAGTCCAGTGGTTAAGACTCTGAGCTTCCACTGCACGGTGTGTGGGTTCGATCTCTGGTCGGGGAATTAAGAACCCGCATGCTGCACAGTGCAGCCAAAAAATTTTTTTTAATTAAAAAAAAATAAAAAAGAAACTCAAAACATGACATGGTCCTTGCCTTTCCCCCCAGCAATAGGAGAGACCAGCAAACAAGTAACTACCACCCAGGAAACAGAGGAAGGGATGAGAATTAAATGGCTGAGAATCGAGTGGCTGATGCATTTAAACTGGGACTTGAAGGATAGTTAGGGGTCCCCAGGCAGAGCAAGGGAAGAACATTCCAGATGAAGAAACAATATGTGCAAAGGCAGAGAGAGGTCAAAGGGCAGCGAGGATGACGTTTTAAATGTCCAGCACACACACAGATGTTTCCCAAACAATACTTTCCTCACTCCCTTGCAATACACTCTTCCATGGATTCCATTTCACTTTTTAAAGACTTCATCAGTCACAAGCCACAGTTTGAAAAACATTGTGATAGAGCTTTCAGGGCTCTCCAGTTCCTGTAGGATAAAGGGTTGCCACTCTTTACCAGTCAGTGGTAAGGTCGGATTTGTATTTTAGAAAGACGACTGCACAGTAATCCTAGGGAAAACCACCTAGAGTCAGGAAGATTGGAATGTGTTCCTTCATTCATTCCACAAATGTACATTGTACATTGTGTCAGCGCTGGATATGCAAAGACAAACAGGCAGGGTCCCCACCTTCAAAGAGGGGGACGAAGGGGGCTTGAATCCTGGATCTTCCACGTAGTAGCATAAGCCTGTAAGTCCTGTACTTAACCTCTCTGAGCTCAGGGTGATTACCCATTAAGCGGTCAGTCTGAGAGAGGGAAACATGGTATCCAGCTTAAAATAAGTGTTCAGTAAATATCAGGTTTCTCCCTCTTGTGGTGGAGGGGGCTTGAGGAGAGAAGTGACTACTGGCAAGGAAAAGATATTTTTTTAAAGTTATTTTATTGAAGTACAGTTGATTTACAACATTGTGTTAATTTCTGCTGTACAGCAAAGCGATTCGGTTATACATGTATGTACACTCTTTTCCATATTCTTTTCCGTGAGGCTTATCACAGGACACTGAATACAGTCCCCTGGGCTGTATAGTAGGATATAGTTCCGTTCTCTACATAATGATTTGCAACTACTTATTCCAAACTCCTAATCCCTCCCTACCCCTGGCAACCACAAGTCTGTTCTCTGTGTCTTGTGAGTCTGTTTCTGTTTCATAGATAAGTTCATCTGTGTCATAGTTTAGATTCCATATATGTGATATCATGTGGTATTTGTCTTTCTCTGTCTGTCTGTCTTAGTATGATAATCTCTAGGTCCATCCATGTGGCTGCAAATGGTATTATTTCATTCTTTTTTATGACGGAGTAGTATTACATTGTATACACGTACCACATCTTTATCCATTCATCTGTTGATGGACGTTTAGATTGAAACAAGATTATTTTTATTTTCTGCTTCAGCCATTTTAGAAAATGTGTAGGTTATATTGAAGTTATAGACTAGGGTGTTTTGCTTTTAATAACTTTGATTAAATTTCCAAAAGTGGCTTGGAATTGCATTGGAACACAGATGTCTGTTTAGTTTGGGTTCCTGGTTTGGTCCTAGTATCCGATGGGAACCGGACTGGGGAGATGAAAAGGAGATATATCTACTACGTATCCAAAAAAGCAATCAAATGCTTAGGGTTGTTATATGAGGATTAAATGAGTTCATGTTTCTAAGTACTTACTTTTGAAGTATTTCTAATGTACAGGGCTGGCACACAGTAAATACTATGTAAGTATTTGATAAATTTAAAAAATCTAACAGAAATGAGGCTGATCCGAATTCTGCTTTGAGGCTGTAACTAAACATATTTATACTTCAAATTTTCTTCCATCCATCAGAGGGGCTTCTGACACGGTAGCGGGCACAGTGCTGCTTCTAACGGACGCTTTTCTGACCCGTGTGCTAGCAGAGTGATGGATCAGGGAATCCAGAACATTCCAGCCTTCCATGATCAGATCGTTGTTGCAACGAAAGGTCCAGCTGCAGCCAAATGAGTTCCGACTCCCAGAGAAATAGATGGGGAGTCACAGATTTTATCTTCCATTAAGAAAGTGAGAAATTATAACACTTGTGCTGTTAATTTCCTAAGGTTGCCACAGTGCTGTTGTCTTCAGGACTAAGTGTCCAAAGGTCCTAGCTGTCCTTACCTGTGTATCAGCTCTGGGAAGCCCAAGAGGTGGAGAGCTTGGAGCCAGTTGTGGTTAATTAATACAGTCGGCTGTGACTGTTCTGTCCCTGAGGGCACGTGTTTGTGCGCTGAGCCTCCCGTGGCTGTCCTTGCAGTCCTGCCATGGAGAGGCAGCAGCTCCACAGTGTGGAGGCTTCTGACCATGCCCAGGGCTTTCTCAGTCCCGTTTGAAGTGTGTGCACGCAGCCCTCCTGGCCAGCCATTCTCCGGAGCAGGGAAAGCCATGGAGGCAGTGGCACTGTTTCAGATGTCTTGGTCCACAAGGTCTGGGAGGACCTGGCTGGATGCAAAGTAATCAGTGGACTGTCTTCAGAAATCTCCACCGAAAAACGTGCTCCTTTGGGGAAGGAGAACTATTCAGAGTAGACCTAGACCTGTTGTCAAGAAGGTGAGCTGATCGCCGATGTCCTTAGGTCTGAATGGGGAGCCCATGAGTGGAAGGACGAGTAAGGACCTGAGAATGTCATTCTTCATCTCACTGCCAGTGACTCATGAGAGATGGTGGAGTTACGGAGCTGGCAGGATCGTGGGGTCCTGGGTGAAGCCGGGTCTGCCAGCCCGGACGTAAAGCAACAGGGCCGGAGGGCATGGTGGGGTAGGGTTTCATATCCAAGGGCCACAAGGCTGCTTGGGGCTTATAACACTGTCCTCTTGATAACGATGCAAAGCCAGCCTTTCCACAAAGCTGTTTCCATGCATAGAATGGAGAATAAGACTGAAAACGTGGGATGGAGTGGTCAAATTTCATGAAGAAAATGATGAAAGGAAACGTCCCATTAAGAAGAGATGGTGCAGGACTTCCCTGGTAGCGCAGTAGGTAAGAATCCACCTGCCAGTGCAGGGGACACAGGTTCAAGCCCTGGTCCGGGAATATCTCACAGGCTGCGGAGCAACTGAGCCCGTGCACCACAACTACTGAGCCTGTGCTCTAGAGCCCACGTGCCACAACTACTGAGCCCACGTGCCTGGAGCCTGTGCTCCGCAGCAAGAGAAGCCACCGCAGTGAGAAGCCTGCGCACCGCAAGGAAGAGTAGCCCCAACTTGCCACAGCTAGAGAAAGCCCCGCACAGCAACGAAGACCCAATGCAACCATAAATAAATAAATAAATCTATTAAAAAAAGAAGAAGAAGAGATGGTGCAACTTTGGGCTCTGGGTAATTCTCAAGAGGAAAACATCCCTTTCTCAGTAATGTAAGGAGAAGACATCATGTTTTTAAAATAATTATTTACAAGGAAATGAACACCTGACACCGGAATGCATGAACACTCATCCTAGTGATCATGTTCAGGCCATGTTAAGCTAATAATAACTTACAAATACATGGGAGTTAAAGCAGTATGAATTATACTGACTTGATCTCTTCCTTTTTTTTTTTTTTTTTTTTTTTGCGGTACGCGGGCCTCTCACTGTTGTGGTCCCTCCCGTTGCGGAGCACAGGCTCGGGACTCGCAGGCTCAGCGGCCATGGCTCATGGGCCCAGCTGCTCCGCGGCATGTGGGATCTTCCCGGACCGGGGCACGAACCCGTGTCCCCTGCATCGGCAGGCAGACTCTCATCCACTGCACCACAAGGGAAACCCTGATCTCTTCCTTTTATATCAGGAAAGGAATCTGTTCTTGGTTGGTCTGATGTGTCCATAAATCACATTAAGATGAAAACAGTCGTCATTTTGGTTCTTTGGTCTCAGCAGAGCTCTTGTTTCTCACAAAGGTGTGAATTTCAGTGATAGAGAGAATTTCCCAGTTCATACAGGACAAACAGCTGTATGCAGTAGGGGCTGACTTTTATCTTGGTTTGAACCTTACTCTTTAAAACTTCACCATCCAGGGCCTTCCCTGGTGGTGCAGTGGTTAAGAATCCTCCTGCCAGTGCAGGGGACAGGGGTTCCAGCCCTGGGCTGGGAAGATCCCACATACCGCGGAGCAACTAAGCCCGTGCGCCACAACTACTGAGGCCCGCGTGCCTAGAGCCCGTGCTCCGCAACAAGAGAAGCCACCACAATGAGAAGCCCACGCACCACGACAAAGAGTAGCCCCCGCTCGCCGCAGCTAGAGAAAGCCCGCACACAGCAGCGAAGACCCAACGCAGCCAATAAAAAAATAAAACCTTCACCATCCAAACAGTAGCCACTGGCCACATGGGGCTATGTAAATCTAAATTGTAATTAGTTTAAAATCAAATAAAATGGAATCAATTCTTGAGTCACACCAGCCACATCTCAAGGGCTCAGTGGTCACATGTGGCTGGTATCTTGCACATTAGGCAGCACAGAGATCATTTCTGTCACACAGAAAGTTCTAGTGAACAACGCTGCTATAAGCTTTTATTATAGCACCCCCCCAAAAAAGGTTAATAGACTGTAACTAAGCTTAACCAATTATGTTTATTTAAATTGTTTAATCAAGAAATGTTTTATTGTCAAAGATTAATTATAGTCGTAATAATAAGAATAAAGTTATTAAAGCAGTTAAGCTGATTTATCTCGTGGTATAGTTATCAATAAAGCGTTTTAGCATGAATTTTATAGTATCAACAAATATGGAATGCATATAAATGAAATATAAACTCAACACCTACCTTGCATGAAGCGCGATTGATTAGCAGCTGTGAGGCCTCAGGGTTTTGAGTATTCACAGCCAGGTAAATCCAGCCCAGCACGTGTGTCATGACCATTTCACTAAACTCACATTGTTTTTTAAATATCTACTCATTTTTCTTCAAAAAAGAGGGAAAAAGAAATTATAGCATCCCTATGTATTATGAGCTGGAAAGAATGTAGATTAAAACTTTGAGAAACAGAACTTTGCCTATTCCTGTAAGTAAAACAAACCTGGTTAATACTTTCTCTTATCTATAATGGTATCTTTTATCTTTTCCCAGAATGTGTCACAGTCAATATAAAAGCACCAAGGAGCCAATTAACATTTGTGTGAGAAGAAACAGGACAAGTGCCACAATTGAAGACCTTGGGGCCTCTGAAATAAAAACATTTCTCTGACACTTTAACCAAAGTAAATATAAAGGGGTTCAACATGATTATTAAAAAAATACATTTTACATGGATGTTATTGCATTATTCTAAGAGCAGTGTATGCTTGCAGCAAAAAAATTTGGAAAATGCAGAGACACGCAAGAATCATCCACATTTCTTACTAGTTTTATTTCTATCCATCTATCTTTACACATATAGTTGAAACAGCCAAAATAAAATTTTCTATCAGAATAGTGAACTTTCAAACTCAAGGTTTGAAATGGAAAAATTTTTTATCACTTTAATTATAATCTTATAAGAAAATGTTTTTAAAACTTCGTTAAGAAATATTTTCTGAACAAGGCCATAAATATCTTAATTGGCATCAATATCTCATTCTTCCAATATAAGTGGTTGCAGATATCAGACAGTCACCATTATGTGGGACAGTCTATAACCTAAGATGATATAAAATTCCATGTATTAAACTTTAGCCCTAGGGAAAAAATGAGAAGCCATTGTGGGGTAAGTATGAGAATATGGGATCAGTAACTGATGGGAAAGAGGTGCAAGGAATGTTGGAAATTTTTTGTGGTGACAGAAATGTCCTCTATGTTGTATTCGTGGTGACGGTGTATACAATTGCTAAATGTAGCAACTGTATACAACTGCTAAAACTCATTGAACTGCACATTTAAGATCTGTGCACTTTGTTGTTATTAATAACTTGATTTTTAAAAATTCTTAGCCTTTCTACAATTTATGATTTACTCCAAAGAAAATGAGATACTTGGGTTATACACTTAAAATATGTACAGGATCTGTATGCAGAAAATTACAAAATGCTGATGAAAAAAATCAAAGAAGACCTAAATAAAGCTTCGAATACTCTTCCTATATGGCAGTATTTGCACCTGGATCCTACCCAAGCCCAAGCAGGGGATAAAGGCAGATGAGTCGGCCACAGACCACGTGCGAGGAGAGAAACCAGTCCTGGGAGACAGGCTCACGCTGACATTCACGGAGCTTGGAACCCATGCGTTGAACTGCTTTCCCATTTTGTAAGGTAGTTTTACATTTGTCTATTTCTTAAACAACCTCTGGTTGACTTAGGAGGTAATGTTAAGAGAGTTAAAAATGTATTTGTACTGGTCAGAATGGCCATCATCAAAAAAATCTACAAACAACAAATGCTGGAGAGGGTGTGGAGAAAAGGGAACCCTCCTGCACTGCTGGTGGGAATGTAAATTGATATATGGATATCATGGACACCATGGACGTATGTATATGTATAACTGATTCACTTTGCTGTACAGCAGAAACTAACACAACATTGTAAATCAGCTATACTCCAATAAAAATTAATTTAAAAACGTATTCGGGGTGGAAAAAATCAGACTTAGAAGAAAGATGGAAATGTTGCATAGTTAAAAGCCTTTAAAAATTTGTTTCCACTTAACATATGGCAACTTAGTCAATCATGTAATCTGGTGAACAAGAGACAAGATTGTAACACTGACTTGTTATTTATAACAAGGCAATATAGACTTGTTATTTATAACAAGGCAATATATTGCTTAGGACTTGTCAGCTTTCGAAGTAGCTGAACATCACGTCCAGTACTCTGCAAAATTCTTTCAGATCCTCTAAAGACAGCTTCAGTAGAAACGTCGTCACAAGCCTACTCAGTTGTCTATAGACAGGCTCTCATTTCATTTTTCACTTTGAGAATATATTTACAATCCTTGCAAAGAATCATTCTTCTCTGTCGCACTGCAGTGTTTAATTTGGTGCAGAAGGAAAATTGGGTTGCTGGTAAAAGTTGAATCTTGTTTGAGCAGTGAATTGTAGCAATTTCAGCTACATCTAGATCTGCTGTGCTTTTATGAATCATTTTACATTTCATGACTGTTCTAATTATGATCTAGGCATAATAATGACTACTTTTATTGAGCCCTTGTCACGTGCCGGTCACTGGCGTAAGAGATATAAATAGTTGAATCTTCACATTATCTTGTCAGATAGGGATCATGACCCTCATTTTAGAAATGAGGGAGCTGGGGCTTGAGAGGCTAAGGTGCCCAGGGCTACACTGGGCAGGGCTCCTCCCTGCCTAGGGCTACACTGCTGGTTAACATGAGAACCAGGAGTTGGACCCGAGACAGCAGGATTCACAGTCCCAGACTCCCTCTAGAGACAGAGGTGACCCCCTTGCTAGGCTATGCGTTTTGAGGCTCTAACATTCTTTTCGTTCATGCTGTAGCCGTGAGAAAATGTCTTAATTTTCGGACAGCTCTTTAGAAGTTGGGGCAAGTGTTCACTATCATTTTGTGACAACCATACTCCTACCTGGTTCCATTTCTTCGACTACTGATTAATTCTTTTTTCCCTTGACCAGTACATATGGGTATGAATACATACAGCATAATGATACCAGGTGAAAAGAGGCAATCTGACTAAAGCAGTAGGGCTGGTTTTTGAGTTTGGTGTCATAATTCACTAATAAGGCTATTTTAGCTGGGCAGTGAACCCCTGAAACTGTAGCTGAAAGTTTGTGTTAAAGTCTCATTCTATCTATCTATCTATCTATCTATCTATCTATCTATCTATCTATCTATATATATGTATATACCTATATATATATATATATATGAGATCTGAAATCAATATATATCTGAATACATATAAATGCATATGTATTCTGAGGTAACTGCTTAGCTCTTGATTTCAGAAATCTGGAATATTTATTTTATATTCAATTAGGGAATTTGATTTGAGCTATTTTAAGCAGACTCACCTAAAATAATCTGTCACAAGAAATTTATAAAGTTATTAATACTTTGAAATATGACATTTTTACTTATTAGCACCTTACATTGTATTAATGTTCCAACATCTTATAAAAACATGCAATACAGGATTTAAAAAAAAAAGAGTTAAGGAAATTGGGGCAAAGGGCAAATAAGGGTAGAAAAAATAAATGAAACCAGGGGAGAGGTTAGTACACAGAATGCCTGCTGTAAAGTGTGTGTCATTTAGGGCATCTCATTTTAAAAATAAAACAGTACAGCTCACTTTCCAAAAAATGTGGCTCCTTGATCAGGAATCTCCATCTTTTTTTTTTTTTTTTTTCAGCAGTGGAACTTCCTGTCCTTTTTGATATGTTGTTCTTTCTACCCTGCCTTAGGAAATATTCCACTTGATTTTTGTCTTTTTTTTCTTTTGGTAAAAGGCAACCTTCCACAGCAGTTGAGCCAATGAAAAAATCACTTGAGCTTTTTTAAACAAGTGGTCATGAGGAGCATTTGAGGATTCATTTGTCAAGTTAGTTGGAACCTCTTATGTGGGCAAAGCTCATGTTTCCAATTTGGGACTCAGAGCAAGCTATCAGCTGTGTAGAATTCTCATAGCCGCTTGGCATCGGCCCTGAGACCGTGGTATCTTTAGCAGCTCACTGTGTAGGATGACGCCAACTGGATGAGTCGTCCCCGTGGAAAACAGCTCACTCAGCATATGCTTATGAAGCTGCAATTTGGCAGTAGTATCAAGACCTTTCTTCTAGAAATCGCTATGACCAGTACACACAGTGGAAAGATCTGAAAGAGAGGATTCAATTTTTCCGACTCTCCCTTTCCTGTGCAGATTATGGGGTATACACTACGTAAGACCATGACTCGCAAAGTGAAAGCATTGATAGCATTCTTTACTCAACATTTTAAGTAGATGAGTTGAAAATGATAAAGTGAAATGTAAACACCTCTATACAGAACTGCAAAACATTTTAGATAAAATGTGAAGTGTGCATTATTTTCACTTTGTGCCATTATAAATATGAAAAGAAATCATCAAATACACAAGGCAGAATTTTGAGGGCACAAATGAATGAATTCTCCCACATGTCCTACCTCGTATTTGCAGCAGCTACCCCTGAAATAGTTTATTATTGCCACAATAGTGCTATGTAACAACTTCCCTACCCACCCACCCCCAATCTCGGTGGCTTAAAATGTTAATAATTGAGCCTCAAGCTCACAGGTCTGTGGATTGGACAGTGTCGTTTAGGAACCCAGGCTGGAGGGATGGTCCTGGCCACCTGGTACAGGTAGAAACGTGCGATGCCTCTTAAACCCAAGGTTTCTGCCCATATCTATCGGCCAAAGCAGCTCATATGGCCAACCAAGTCCAACGTCAATGGGGCAGGAAAATACATTTCCCCCATAGAGACTGATGGAAAGGGAGTGACTATTTGTTGGACAACTGTATGAAGAACCACATAGTAATTTGAAAAAGCAGAGTTTAATATAAAGAATTATTAACAATAGCAGGAGGTTGGAGTAACAGAGGATTGACTAAAAAGAAGTAAAGAAAATGCTAAAGAATACAGGAATAGCAGATACAAGGAGCAGTCATTCCACCTAGGACTGCGACAAGAGTCCAAGGTACAGACCCCACCCCACCCCCAGTGCTGAGATCCAGATCCTACTGGAGGGGTAGGGCCAGCCTTGGCCCACTGGATAGCACAGAAGTCACTGTGGTGCTGTGGAACTCGCTGGAAATCTGCACTCTGGAACTGGTCAGAAATCACCCTCTTAGTTACGGGGGAAGCTGTTCACAGGAGGTGTCTCACTAGAGGCTCTCTGCTACAGAACTGCCCAAGAGGGGCTGCCCGGGAAAGCTGCTGGCCACTAGGTGCTGCTGGCCACTGTGCGCTGTAGGAGCCACACTTTGGGGAAGCTGCACATGCTGCAGGAGCCTTGTGCTGGAGAAGCTGCAAAGTGCAGGAGCCTGCCCGGCACGCACACCAGAACCGGAAAGCAAAACCTGTTTCCTCCTGCAACCTCTCTCTAGCGCCCTCTACTGACAAAGCTTAATATTGTGCCAGCTGGTAAAATATATTTAAATATTTTATTTATTTATTTATTTATGGCTGTGTTGGGTCTTCGTTTCTGCGCGAGGGCCCCCTCCAGTTGTGGCAGGCGGGGCCCACTCTTCATCGTGGTGCACGGGCCTCTCACCGTCGTGGCCTCTCTTGTTGCGGAGCGCAGGCTCCAGACGCGCAGGCTCAGTAATTGTGGCTCACGGGCCCAGTTGCTCCGCGGCATGCGGGATCTTCCCAGACCAGGGCTCGAACCCGTGTCCCCTGCATTGGCAGGCAGACTCTCAACCACTGCGCCACCAGGGAAGCCCTATTTAAATATTTTTAAAGGGCCCAGAGGAGTTTTCACAGGGCAGGCAAAAAGGATGATTTTGAAGCTCACTCTGAACAAAACTGCTTGCTCTGTTGGACCCATGAGTCTCAAAGTGCCCTCCTCTGTTATCCCAGAACCACCCGAGGGGCCTGTTACAGTGCAGATTCCTGGGCTCTCAGTGGAACTGACACACTGAATTAGGATGGAGGAAGGGAGACAGGGATCTGTATTTGAAAAATTCTACCCCAGCTATAGCTTTACATACATAAAGTTTAAGATGCAGGAGCTCCTTGAGGATGGACACATTTTTGATTCACTGTTGTCTTCTTGGCTCTTAGCTCAGTATCTGCCACTTATTAGGTGTTGCTTTAGGCAGGTTGATTCCTGGGTTGGGTGGTTGAGGGAACCGATTCAAACTTGATCAACTGTGATTGGCCGTAAGCCACACACCCAAACATACTTTAATGATGTTTGCTTGACAAGTCTGTCCCTTCACTATTGTTGGTGAAACCCAAAGACAACATATCCTCACTAGAATGGCAGGTAATTTTTTTCCAAAGGGGGCTGCAACAATATCTTCCATCCTATACGTTCTCCTACAATGTGAACTTGCCACCCCTCCATCAAGAGACAGGGTCTATGTCCGCTGCCCTTGAATCTAGGCAGGCTTGTGACTTGCTTGTAACCAACAAGATGTTAAAAAAGTGATGACGCATGGCTTCTGAGGCTAAATTAAAAAGGCAATGCAGCTTCTTCCTTGTTCTCTGGGAAACTCACTTTTGGAGCAGAGTTTCCATGTAAGAAGTTTCCACGCCGTGAGGAAGCCCAAGTCACATGGAAAGGCCACACGTGGATTCTCCAACCAACAGCCCCATCTGAGGTTCCACCCAACAGCTAGATCGACCACCAGACATGTTAGTGTCCATCCCGTAGCTGCTGACTCACCTTTCCAGACGTCATGAGGCTCCAGAGCCATCCCACTACCTTGTTGAAATGCCTGATCTCAGAATCGGTGAGAGTAGTAAATGGTTATTTTAATCTCATTTGGGGGATAATTTGTTATGCAGCAACAGTAACTGCAACAAATTGTAGAGTTCTTCTGGATCAGAATCACCTGACTCTCTCATTCTACAACTCATACGCACTGAAATGCATGAACTTATATTTAAATCTTCCCTCTTGGGCTTCCCTAGTGGCGCAGTGGTTGAGAGTCCGCCTGCCGATGCAGGGGACACGGGTTCGTGCCCTGGTCCAGGAGAATACCACATGCCGTGGAGCGGCTGGGCCCGTGAGCCATGGCTGCTGAGCCTGGGTGTCCGGAGGCTGTGCTTCGCAACGGGAGAGGCCGCAACAGTGAGAGGCCCGCGTACCTCAAAAAAAAAAAAAATCTTCCCTCTTACTACTGCTGTGGTCTCCCCTCCCTTCTGCTGAATATCATTATGGAAGAGAAAGCCCAATAATTCTAAACTTGCTGCACTGCCTAATGGTTCTATTTGAAATACTTAAGAAAAAACGATTTCAGAATTGTGTCACAGGTCTTGATACATTAGCAATGTAAGGAGAACTTAATAAAGCAACATGAAAACCTAAACCAAGGTCATTTAAAATTACATTCCAATCTAAAAAGGAAAGCACTAAATAATTGTGCCATAGCAGTATCAGGAATTTGGTCAAGTAATCTTTATCATGCCTCTCAGTTTGGAAAGTCAAATGGAATAATGATAAGAGGAAAGAATTGGGGATCTGCAAAGCCTGAGTTCAAAAATAAGTTCATCCCTCTATTGTCTTTGCAGTCTTGAACATGTTACTTAACCTCTCTGACCTTCAGTTTCTTCATCTCTAAAACAAGATTAGATAATAACCTTCCTAGCCCACAGGACTGTTTTGCTGCTCAAGTGAGGGGGTAAGAGATGTGACAGCACTTTGTAAAGCTGTATGACACTAAGGACTCCTTCAGAAAAATGAGACAAAAATTAAACTGAAATTGAATCCAGGCAATTTAGGACAGTATGGGGAAAAAATAAAGCAAAAACCCAAACCAGAAATCCTCTCGACATTTTCTTTCTTGAACAGCAGTGTTCCTAGCAGACACAGGTGTCCACTGGTATTGGTCGTGGTGATAAGGGGAGAGGACTCTGATGGCAGCACCACTTCACTGCCCTTCCCCACAGATCCTGTTTATACCGGATGTTTCACTGCTTTGCTTTGAGCAAGTCCACCCTCTGCTGCTGAAGTGTTTCCTTCCCCCACTTTCACAACGAGCAGCAGCTATGTTTGCTTTGCAAAGACGCATTTCCAATTCCAATTCCTAAGATAAGCTGCCAGTCTTCTGTGGGTCTTATACCTCTTTTTGGTTTTATGCCCCAACTGCAGCAGCCTAGCCCACGCTGCTCCTCCCTGAATTTAAAGCTAATGTTCTATTTTATACTTGCCTATCAGAAAGGACCCTTAGAGACCGGCCAAGCCCACCATTTCACAAATAAGAAAACCGAGACCCAGCAGAGGAGCAGGCTCCCAACCCAGTGTCACGACATCTTGCAGAACGGAGCTCCTCTTTCCAGAAATAGTTTCTCCCAGTTATTCCTGCGTTGAGCATGTGTTCCAGACTCGTGTATCCAGCTGCCGCCTCGACATCTCCAGATGGGTGACTAAGAAGTTTCTTGAACTTAACTTGTCCAAGCAGAACTCCTGATTCCACGCACCGCCTCCAGTGGGTGCCTCCCCCAGTCTACCAAGCTCAGCTAATTGCCCAGCTGCTGATTGCCCAGCTGACCAAAACCCCAGGAGTATACTTAATATCTTTCTCTCGCTTCCCACACCCAGTTCACCAGCAAGTCCGAAGGCTCTACCCTCAAAACACATCCAGAATGTATCCGTTTCTTCCCACTACGCTGACTAACAGTGAGCCTCCAACACCTCTTATTAAGCTTCTACGGGGGGCCA